TGCAATACTTCGTCTGGTGATAATAACTACTGTAAGCAAGGGTCTTTTATACTCTACGGGAGGACCGGCGGAGCGGTCCATAATTCGATCGATAATTGGAACAATAACGCACAATGCCTATTGGTCGACGCACACGGTGATCGACCAATCACCAGGCCGCTGGATTCGGCCGCTGGTTCGGCTAATGCACCAGGCCTATTGGCCGACGCATACGGTACTCGACCAATCAACGAGCCGCTGGCTCGGACCGTCTGCTGAATGGAATCGACCGGTGTTGGCTGGCAGGACGGCGAGTGTCATGGCGGCGTATCGTCCGCATCCGAAATTCGGGGATATCGATCCCGTTGTCTCTGTTGAAATTATTAGGATTGAGACGGATATTGATAGCTTCTTTTACCCTCCCTGTATACCAATGCCGTTCCTGGGAAAGGCACTGGACCCCGTCACAGTCTGGTTGATGCTGGCCTGGTGATTGGTCGATCACCGTGTGCGTCGACCAATAGGCATTGTGCGTTATTGTTCCAATTATCGATCGAATTATGGACCGCTCCGCCGGTCCTCCCGTTAGAGTATAAAAGACCCTTGCTTACAGTAGTAAGTTTCCAGATTATTTATGTATCCCAAAGGGAGCCCCCTGTCTACTCCCGAGAGACAGGACGATGTCTGGACGGTGTCTTAGAACGGACAGGACTACGCGGTAACCTACAGGATACAAAAATCTACATTTTGTCGTATTTTTATTTATTTATTTTTTATTTTTTCTTCATCTATTTTCTCTTTCATTTTATTTTAAGGGGGAAAAAAAGGAATAAGAAAAAAAGAGAGAAGCCTATATTTAAATTATATTTTTGATACTCTTATTTAAAAAAAAAAAAGAGAAGAAAGAAATTAATATTAAAAAGAAAGGCGTTGGTGATAATAGTCAGGTTTTGACTGATTGCCATTACAACAAAAAACAACAACAAACATCAGTTATTATCACCAGACGAAGTATTGCAGATGCATACGAAACGTCGTGAACTTTTAGTTTCCTTATTGACCACATTGCGAGACAAACGAATATCACTAGCGATATTATTTTCGATACATTTATCATTTGTTTACTAAATGTTGTATAATTATCGTTTGTATCTTGGCATTTTCGGATAGAAAACAATAATTACAACAAAACATCATAAACCTAAACAATCAGTCCATTTTGATCTCCAACGATTTCGTTGAGTAGTATTTCCTCGTCACTACAAGAATGAAATTCCTAAAAGGGTATGTTTTTGGATATTAAGTAACATACATGTGAGTCCTTGAAATTCGCCAGAAACGCGTGTGCGTTCGGAACTGAAAAAACATTGTTCTAACTGGATACCTTGCATTCAAAACTTCAAACAAAATGTGTGGCTTTTACAATTCAAAGGGTGTTGAACATTCAATAACTTCGGACCGAGAGAACCGAATGTTCCAAATGTCCACGACACTGTCAATGCAATGACTTGACGAAAGATTTTGTTAAAAGATAAGAATATGAACGAATTATAGAAAGAGAATCAAGGAAATATAGTAAGAGGACAAAAATAATTAAGTATATATCTTTAGAGAAACATACCAATTAAGCATGAATGTATGAGCCCAGATTAAAGTCCATTAAATATGACACACGTCTATTTTCATTCTTCTTCTCTGAAAATGAATACATTGCTAATGATTAGACAGTACACTCGTGCAAAAATGCGCACCCAAGCTATCGCACATCTATTTGAATGAAGGTAATTTACCCCTTCATACTGAAAGATGATGAATTATTTAAAGCAAGAGATAGACAGAGAGAGAGAGAGAGAGAGAGAGAGAGAAGAAACATTTTTAAAACTAACTTTGGAAATTTGACCCTAGAAATATATGACAGGAAATTCTGTTTTGTATGACAGGGTATAAGAGCAAAGGCGCATTACACCGAGAGAGGGAAGCACCCTTTTAGATTGCAGTAGGGGCGTTCGATCACTAGGAGGGGCACCTTTTCGCACGAATACCGGTATTAAGAGCGGAGAGAAAAGAGGCAAAGTAAGACCAAGGAAAAGAAGAGAAGGGTGGCGTGTGTGTGTGAGAGAGAGAAAGGAAGAGAGAGAGAGAGAGAGAGAGAGAGGGATAGAGAGAGAGAGAGAAGGGGGGGGGTGTAGAGTGATGTAAGGAATAAGGGAGTTTACAGATACAATCTGCGCATGGGCAGATAAAGGTCATTTGTACCAAAAAGGTAAAACCCACAGAGATGAATACTGGACATGCGCTCATGAAAGTTATGTAACATTATTCATTTATGTACCAACGGTACATTCTATGATACGCAGGTGGAAGTTTTCTTTTCAAGAGGGCAAACAAAAGGTATTCATGAAGCAAATCTAGGACTTTGGCAGTTATTAATCTAATATGCTCAAAGTGAAACTTCTCCATGTGTAAAAGATCTGTGGATATTTGGGGTCATTTGTACCATGTGCTATCTGTAAACTCCCTTATAGTGCTAGTCTGCCTTTGAATGGTATGTTTAAAGCAAGAGATGGTGCTCGTGATAACCATTGTTTGAGCTATCAGTAGGTACTCTCGAAATCGATGATAAAGACATATTATGAGGCCATTTCTAAATGGGTCCAGAAAATCAGGGGAACCCCCTGACGATATGGTTAAAAACTTATCATTTTCAATCGTTGTTATATACTAAATCAATTTTTTTTGTAAGGAGGATGAACGGCGCTTTAGACGATGCATTTTAAACAGCTGGAATGGGTCCAATCCAATCCAATCCAAATATATAGCGCCTTTTCCTTGCAGTTACAAAGCGCTGCACACACGCTCCACAATGTTTGGGGCACTTAAAAACAAAAGTTAGAGATCAGTCAAGTATATGTAGGCTGGTAAAAAAAAGTAATTACTAGCAGAATACATGTGACTGAGCAGGCGCGTATGCATGGGGGGGGGGGGAGGACGCGTTGGTGGTTTAACCCTCATCATTTTTTTTTAAATGTGTGTGTTTGGGAGGAACCCCCCCCCTCGATTTTTTTACGGGACAAAAAAGAAAAAAATATGTGCTCTTACCCCCCCCCCCCCCCGCTTATTCACCGGCTGGCTGAGTCGTTGCGAAATGTTACCCCCCCCCCCCCCTCGAAAAATATCCTGCGTACGCTACTGGACTTGAGTAATTTCTTGAACTGGTCAACAGATGAGGCCGTGTGCACAGCAGTCTACGTTCATCATTCAAAAGCGGGATCAGAGAGCAATTTTTGATGTTTCTTCAAAATATCATTTCAGGGCAAATAAAAGAGAATCCATCTAAAAAAAATTAATCCAAAGAAGTGCTCAAGGTGCATAAAAGTATATAACAAAGGGAAACCTACTACATACAATTTTGAATGGATCACAATGAGATAAGTTTGAAAATTAACATGAATATATGAAAATGAAAATATGAATGTAAAGAACCACCTAGTAAAGACGAACGCATTAAATTTAATAACATTACGAAACTGGCCTATTTCAGTGGTCTCTGTACTTTCCTATTTTTTACCACAAATTTTATTTTTATCAAAATAACCAATGTCAGCGGTGTTGCTACAAAGGGAAAGGGAGGGGGGGGGAGTACGTGCCGAAATCTTCTTCTTCTTCTTTTCTTCTTCTTCTTCTCCTCCTATCCCTTCTTCTTCTCCTCCTCTTTCCTCTTCCTCTTACCCTCCTCCTCTATCATTTTTTTGTTCTTTTTCTTCTTCTTCTTCCTCTTCTTCTTGTTATTCTTCGTCTTCCCCTTCTTCTTGTTTAATAGTGGATAAGTAGGGATGCCTTTGACCCCTTGTGCCCCCCCCCCCACCCTGGCTAGGCCTATGTTTCTTGGTACATCAAGCAATACTGTAACCTAGTCAATACAAAATGATACTTAGGATTTATCTGAGAATCTATTTTTAAAGGAAAAATATTCATCAAATGTTTTTATGTGAAACACACTATATGACGTATAGCATGGCGTGATAAAGTCCCTATTATGTTTCGAGGACTTCCTCTCCCAAAGCAGGCTCTACTCTCACGAAGATCGGTTGCATACACGTCGGAAAATGGCCGAAAACCTGTATTCAACCGTGTCTTTACTGTTAATTGTCTTTGTCAGTCCCTGTCTGGCGATCTTTACTATTTCAGGTAAGTTTGTACGAAATATTTTCGCAGATCGAATTACATTAATTTGTAGCATTTATAGCAAATCATAAAGGACTATTGGTTGGTATAGCATTGGATGCAGATATGAGGAAGTATGGGAATGCATAGGCCCATTGTAATCTATTTCTTTTTGTGTGTAAATCCTCAATGCTTTGTATTGAAGACAATGTTTAGTTTTATTTTATTTTCAAGGGGAGCGAGAGGGTCTTATTTGCCTTACTCCTATAAGCGTGCTGAAGTAAGATATCCATGACATTCACTGTTCATCTGTCATTTACTTGAGGCGAAAAAGGCCTACGGAGGGACTGTGGGCAAAAAATAATGTCTAAGGATGCAAGCCCCGAGCAAGGTTCGAACCTGGTATCTCTGGTATGAGATTTAAGAGCCTTCACCAATATGATCCCACTGCTACGTTTATAGATTGGCGCCTTAAGCACCCCCTTAGATGGATACGTGCGCAATATAAATGTAGCTATTATTATAATAATTAATATTATTGTTACTATTATTATAATTATTGTTATTTATATTATCATAATCATCATCAGCATTATGATCAATATTATCATTATTATACAAACGAACGAATACACAACCTAATCTACATAAGCATAATCTCAATAACTTTTGCAGACTACAGATTGATCACCAAAGATCGACCAAATGCCGGCATCGTTGAGGTTTTCAACCAGGACATCGGATGGGGGCTCGTTTGTCAAAACAATTGGAACTTCGAACTAGCAAGTATAGCTTGTCGTCAGCTTAACTTTCCAGGAACTTCTCGACATCTTACGGCAGTTTTTTTCGACGACGGAGATGAGTGGTCGATGTCAGTAACTAATAATATATCAACATATTTTACAGGCTGTTCAGTTAGTAAGTGTACTATCAAACTGTAGTGTACCAATTGTAACAACAATGCTGATAATCATAATAATAACCCCAAAATATTAATGGTAACAATAAGAAGTAATAATAATCATATTAATAATCAAAGTGATGATAATGATAATGATAAAAACTCTAATAACAGGAACAAAAAAAAATAATAATAATGATAATGATAATGATCATACTAATAACAATACTAATAATAACAATTACAAGCGTGCACACACTCTTTCATTCTTTTTATGTGAGTGTGGAATAATAATATGGAAAAAATGTCCCCTGAAAAGAATGGCTCTTCAAGTGCGCCCTCGTATTCAATATATACAAAGTAAAAGCTAACCGTTGTGGTTGTGGTTTCATTCCACATATTTGTGTAGTTCTATAAACACATGTCTCTGTAAAGCACGTGTGACCTTTAGCAAGACTGGGCCAATTTCTCATCGGTTTGATAATAGCACACCCTCACAGTACACACAAATTAATACTTAGATGGTGCTTGATCAGCCTAATACATTCGCTTCTACACAGTTTCTTCCTCAATGCGATCGCATGACCAGAATTAAACTTCATCTTGAACCTACACCGTATTATCACAAGTATATCCCTAATCAGATCGACTTTCCTTCCCGAGGTTAAATCTTTGTTTATATATAATAATAATAATTATAATGATAATAATAATTATAATGATAATAATAATTATAATGATAATAATAATATCAATTAGTCCCATATTACCCAATGCATGTACATATGGAAATACAATTTATTTGAAGGAATTGCAATTAATCATTTTTCAGATGGGCCGAACATGCAATGTGATACGAACAACGGAGGTGGTAGCTGTAATTTCAACTATATGATAGCAGCCGTTTCCTGCAAAGGTAACACGGTTGTGATGTCTGCTTATCATTTCTAGCTGGTTCACTTAATACAGTTCACGTAATATGCATGTATGCTGATCCTGTTGTTAGTGCTGATTTTCAAAATATTGGTTTTCCACATGACTATTCTTGGCACTGGTTAATACATTCATAGTGACGAAATAATAATACGATTGTTCACATAGCATGGATGGCTGTCTGCCTTGGTAAATAGTTTTACTTCACATTTTGTTTTGTCTCTGACATGTGGAGTTGAACAGGGCTCATCCTGTTCTTACTTTATCTAATTAGTCTGAAAAATATTCTTCAACACCAATCTTTTTGATATCATATTTATGCAGATGATATTTACAAAAAAAATCACTTCATTCGAAACTAACCGACGCAATGCAGTCACCGCTATCCATAATCTTGAGGCTCATGTACAGGATGTTCATAATCGGTTACATTCACATTAAGTGATACTAAATCTTACAAAATGTGAATTTGTATTGTATTGTTCCAAGACTCAGTTAAATAAGGTACCTCCATTGCCCTTGCTGGTCATAATATATATTACTGTATCTCATGGATGTCATAACCTCGGTGTGTTTATGTTTCAAACTTGAAATGTTTAAAATGATATTAAAAAATCTGTTTATTTCAACATATAATTCATTATTTTTTCGTGTTAGTATATTGAACATACTTACACGAAAAACATTGAATTATATGCCGAATTAAACAGATAGAACTTCTATCTTATTTATTTTCCTTTGTTTATAATGCAAATGCTTCTATGTGATATCTTTTTTGTTTTTGTTACACAAGTGTGCTTTGAGCATTCATTTACAAGTGGATTCGGTGCTTTTTAAATCCCACATATTATTACTATAATTTACATATCAATAATCAAAGTAGACGTATATATACTGCTAGTATACTTCTACTACTAATAATACAAGTTCGATTGATGTAGCGCTAAATAAAAATGTTTCTAAGCGCTGTACTTATTATCACCCCGGCTATTGCCGATCGAGCTACCCTAATAAGGCGCTCTGGTACTCTAGGAATTTCATTTTACCTGGAACCCAAGCATTTTTATCATCTACAGTATTGGTGGAGAGTGGCTAAATAAGGTAGATTGGTGTATTGGCAAATAACATAAGTGTCAATGACAGGGACTCTCCGTACATTGTGCCTCTTATTCCGGGGACTTATCCGCTAGACCATGACATTTCCAATATAGTACATACATAGGAGGAAAAAATGTTGTGGAATAACTGCAACACAAATACTAAACATGCAATCGTGTCACAACGATATGCGTGCAATGACACACGTGTTTCTACGTTTCAAACGAAAGAGCTTCGCTCGAACCATCCAGAGCAATTTGTAAGAAGTCTGTAGCTTTTGTGATAGTTGAGATAGGTAGGGCGAAAGAAACGCCACGGGAACGGACGAAATGGCGCCTCGACTATCATGCATGAGGGATTTTGGAGAACGAAGAATTCAGTGACCATGAAGGAATGCTAGAGACTATGCCTACGAAGTTTGAAGGGAATCGGAATAGAGTAGACCATTCGTCCAAAGCCCCCCCCCCCGGTTTGGCCGAAAGGGTGCGTTGACTAGTCTTCCACATCAGATGTTTATAATAGAATTGACTGATGTGGAAGACTAGTCAACGCACCCTTTCGGCCAAACTGGGGGGGGGGGGGGGGGGGGGCTTTGGACAAATGGTTGCGTTCCGGTCAACAACGCACCCTTTCGACCAACCCGGGGGGGGGGGGGGCTTTGAACGAATGGGCGCGTTCAAGTCAATGCGACGCGACGTAAACGCTACCCATCCTTTCGGCATAAGCCGGAAGGGACCTAGAAAGGGCTCGCAAGCACTGCGTGCAAATCCATGGGATTTGGTTCATGATGAACATGTGGCACAAACAGCCGCCCATACTAACACAACCATGCAGAGTATAAACTGGCGTCTTAATTGGCCCCCTTGACGATTTTCAAAAATCCGACTTCGAGGTGCACTGCGTATCGCAACTCGAAATATCACTGCAAAATTTCCAGGAAATAACAGGACGGGAATTAAGGGGGCGAAAAGCAGTCTGAAAAATGACGTCATGGCCGATACGTGTTATAATTATAATATATTTGTAAATGTTGATCATTTACAAACTGAATCTGGCATCATACTGTCTGACATATCAGATCACTGTCCAGTTTATTGCAAAATTCAAAGTTTACTTAATCTTGCTAAATTGGTTCATGTCTATAAATAGAAATGTTGCATCTCTCTACAGGTCTGAATACACTCGTCAAGAGCTATTTTTAGAACGTGGATAAAATTGTTGTAAGACACAGATTATTGTTAGAATCATTTGTATTTAATGACTTGCCATTAATTTATTTTTTTATTTTTTACTGTTGTATCTATCTAATATTATGCACATGTTTTGTTACCTTGTATATGCCTTACTTTGTAAATTCTTTTCATATGCAGTTAATGTTGAAATAAAACCTAAATAAAATTATTAAAAATAAAAAAAATGGCGGAATCTCATCAGAAGTCGTATAGTGACCCTTTTTCAAATTCGATTTACTCAAAATGTTCTGCGTGAACCATATTTGGTATCATTCGAAAGAGCATTTCATTGCGGTCAGTTTGACACCATTGTCATCTGCGTGCAATGTCTTGTACGCATTAAACTGGTTTGTATGTAATGCATAGTAAAATCATCATTTTGGCAATAATTTTACGCTGACGTCATCAAATTCTGCCAAACTTGGCAGAAAGTTGTCACGTGCTCGGATACATGTGTATCCCATGTTTCTATGACGTAGGTATAAGGATCATCATTTTAGATCAAGTTGAAGTTGTTTCGCAATTTTCTTGAAAATAGCGAATTTGGAGGGTAATTTTCTCAAATTTGGTCAGCGTTAGGATATTTTTTATTTTTTATTTGGCTGGAAAGGGCATATCTTCAAGTATCTAAATCTAAAAAAGGGTACGGGTTGGCCAGAAACGATGAAGATACGGCCACAGAAAGAAAGACAATCCCCAGAACTTAAGAGGGCGCTATTAATTTGTTGCATATTCATTGGAGAGTTTAATTCAGCATGGCTTTGTGAAATTATGAGATAAAGATACTGCAAGAAATTGAGGCGAAGGTATGAGAAATTTAAGGCATTTTTAGATTTGTAGGGGTCTATTTTTCAAAAAGAAAATTGAGATTTTTCACGAAGTCGGTTTCGGATTTGAATTTGCACTGCGAATATGGCATTTTGAAGGTCAGGTTATGCGTCGCAGATGAAAGAACATATCCTGGAATGTTTAGAGGAATTTGTTAGAACTCTGTAGGATCTAAGATAGTGGAGATACACTGTAAAAAAATAATAGTCGAAATAACTCAATAAAATTGAGGAAAAGAATTACCTTATTTTTATTAAGTAAATATTACCTACGGCATCTTAAGTAGAATTTACTTATTTTGCTGAATAAATTTTTACTCAGTTAAATCGAGTAACATTAAAGAGAAGGTTGAGTACTGGTAAAAAAAAGAAAATTATTTCTCACAGAATCAAACGAAACTTACACTGAATGTTCAAGATTACAAATAAATGACATGTGCCAAACAATTTTGGAAGAAAATGTATACTGGCTGAGTAATGAGCATAGAAAGACAAGGAATCAAGGTAGTACCAACCCCGACACCATGCGTGTTGTCCCATACATAGCTTTCTGTGTATGTGCTTGTTACTTTACCAAGACTCGGTCAAATTTATCATGATTTTGATGACTCCAGAACCTTGCAGTGCACACCAATACTTACATGCTACATGATCAACTGTTTCTGATCCTTTCCACACCTTTTCTTTCACAATGCAATCGCATTACCAGTACTAAAGTTTATCTTTAACGTAAATAATTTAAGTATTGTAATCATTTTAGATAATTAACAAAAAGCTATGATAGGATTACATATTGCACGATTTGGTACCCATTTAATCTAACAAGTAACATCCACTAATCACTAACACTACTTCTACTTAAGATTTAACCGTATATATATATATCTACCACCATCACAAATTATATACCTCACTTAAGAAATCCAGCCATCTGATTGGTCGAATTGCATTCATAAACTTCAACTGTTCCTGTAAAATTCCAGGTAACCATGCTTAAAACATTTCAATATTTTTAATAACCATGGTTATTAAAAAAATAGGTCAGTCTCCATGGTTACCCCATAGGTTTACATGTTAAAAAATGGTTTGAGCGATGGAGGATACCATACGTGTGCGAAAAATTGGTCGGCAATTTCAATACAATTGAATCTCGATCGATCTTACCGACAATTTTATCTTGCATTGTTGACATGAAGACGAAAATTAACTCTCAAAAACAAAAAAACAACATCTGCCGATAGATCTTGATCTAAGTTCGTGCCAATATGCATTGCAAAAGTAAAAGAAGGGTCCGTTTCATGGAGCTTTTGCGAAGCATCCCTCACGCGGAGCCGTTTTCAATTCATTTTAATGTATATATTGGAGAAAACTGCCAAGCATGTTAACGGCGCGCGATAGCCGAGTGGTCTAAGCGTTGGTTTTCGATACACCTCTTGTTGTACGCAAGAGTTCGAATCCCGTCTTCGACAAAAATGTAAATTATTTTTTATTTTTTATTTTTTAGTCTATTTTTTTTCGGCATATAAAAGTATTAATGACTGCTTTAATATTCGAGAAATAGTTGTTTTCATACGCTCTCGGGAAGGTTACAATTGGGCTATTCCCCTCGGCAAGCCTCGGGGAATAGCACAATTCTAACCTTCCCTTGAGCGTAATAAAACAACTATTTCTCTCAAAGCAGTCATTAATACTATACTATTACATACGCTTCAATTCGACACATATTGAAAGGCTCCAAATTTTATATATACTTGATCGTAGCATCTTAAAAGGAAAATTGGTTGACAATTTCCTGAAATATCAAGTTTTGATTTGTTTTGAACTGGGTAACAATTAAAAATTGTCTTGTCTTTGTTTAGCCATGTTAAATGAATTAGTAAATGTTTTAAAGTCCTTAAATTTTCATTCAACCACAAAAAAGAATTGTTTTATTTAAAAAAGAGTTTAATTTGGTCTTAATGAATATTCATAAATTATGTAAATATTTCTATTATGCACTTCATCGGTCCTTACTTTAAAAAGATAAGAATAATCAACATAAATTGTTTTAGTAATACGTATAATTTCTGATTTTGAGTTAAAATTACTAAATTAATACAAGCTGAAATTACTTAAAGTTCTTATGTATTTGATTTTACGTAAATATTCCACGTATGTTCTACTAAATTGAAAGTTTGAGTTAGCAAGACTTAAATTTAGTGCGTAAGTGGCAAAACTAATGTTTACAAGTAAATTCTACATGGAAAAAATACGTAAAAATTACCAATGAACAAATTATTTTTTAAAGTGTAGGAAGGAAGAAAGAAAGGCCTTAAAACGGACCAGAAACGGAAAAATGGCGCCTGGACGGTTATGCATGAGTGATTTCCAACACTCTTACTTACGAGCAACGACTGGAGAAGCTAGCTTTGCCACCCTTATATAATCGTCTCATTTACTTGACGGTGTCATTTGTTGTAAAATGCATCCGTAGTTGTCATGATGTACCCGATTATGTTCTTCCCGTTCCCAGTTCAAGACGCTCCCATAGTCTTTTCTTCAACCATCGACTTGCAAGATCTAATGCTCTGAAATTTTCATGCTTTTATGCCTTTCCTAGGTTCTGGGATACTTTACCTGAAGAGATCAGGGATCTGTGTGTGGACACCTCTATATCGCCCTGTTTGGGTGCGCTGAGGGGTTTGCTCTTTGAGCAGTCTCCCATTGAGAGGGCGTTCTGATGTAGGTGTTGGAATTTGGTTCGGTTCGGTTTAGCTGATTTTCTTAAATTAAGTAAATTAGTTGAATTGAATTGAGTTGAGTTCTGGCACTTATGTCGGAGTGCCTTTTCGGTGGGAGGCTGTTCTGGGAGTGAACTTTTTGGCGCATTCGAGCGGGGTGGTGTGGAGGTCTCTACGCGCGGATCTCTGATCCCTTCAGGTATTACATTAAATAAATTACATTAAATTGAATTATGTTATTTTATTTTACCGTTACATGCCGTACCTAATTGTTATTTTCTTCATGCCACAAAGTTCAACATACATGCAATCATTCTATAAGTTATTATGCTTGATGAATGAACTTGTATTATGTTATTTTATTTTACCGTTACATGCCGTACATGATTGTTATTTTCTTCATGCCACAAAGTTCAACATACATGCAATCATTCTATAAGTTATTATGCTTGATGAATGAACTTGAATTATGTTATTTTATTTTACCGTTACATGCCATACATGATTGTTATTTTCTTCATGCCACAAAGTTCAACATACATGCAATCCTTCTATTAGTTATTATGCTTAATTAATGAACTTGAATTATGTTATTTTATTTTACAGTTACATGCCGTACATGATTGTTATTTTCTTCATGCCACAAAGTTCAACATACATGCAATCATTCTATTAGTTATTATGCTTGATGGATGAACTTGAATTATGTTATGTTATTTTACCGTTACTTCTTAAATCTATTTATATGTAACACCAGTGGATGTGGAGAACCTCTTGACAGAATGGATATTCTTTTAGGTAATCCTCAGGCGTCCGCTGGTGGCTTTTTCACTGTCTTGTTACTCTTAATGTTATATGCTCTGTGTTGTCATTCCTATTTTGTTTATACATGTACCTGGAAATCAAATAAATTTCAAATTTCAAATTTCGAAAATTGAAGAACGTTGATGAAATGCTAGAGACTATGCCTATAAAATTTGAAAGGAAAAGAACATGAGGAAAGGGCATAACTAGTGATAACACGTACTACGTGCAAAACGAATGCGATTTTCTGACGAAAACACGGAAAACACGGAAAAGAATATTAATAGGGTAGAATGTGTACGTAAACAAGGCAATGACGATATTCGTCATTTCAATAACACGAGGTTCCATTTGAAGTCTAGCTGAATTGTGTGGGAAGTGTTTCGTTGTTATCGTTTTCATTTTTTTCTTTAATTTAGAACCAGGTTATATTGGATGTTTCAGGGCTTTCAACTTTTTCTGGTCCGGCAGAGATCGTGTGCTCTCTGATGGTCCCCATCAATATGAATATATGACGATTGACCTGTGCATCAACGCATGCGCACAGAAAAGATACTTCTACGCAGGTGTGGAATTTGGGAACAACTGTTTCTGCGGAGGACAAGATGAAAACTTTGCCAAATATGGAAACGCTTCGGATGGGGAATGTAATATGCTTTGTGCTGGAGATCGCCTTGAATCATGCGGGGGCTCAGATAGAATCGGCATCTACCGAGGTAAAGGAAAGAGCGATTCGAGATTTTATTTAATTTTTCATTTTTATGAGGGTGGGGCACTCTTGGGGAGGGACATAGGGGGCTAGAGAGGGTGTTCAGGGTTCTTGCATTAAAAAAAAAAAAAAAATGTTTTACATGTTTCTCACGATGGTGTTTTAACTCCCTCCCTAAGAAAACACTATAAGAACACTACTAGGTAAAGCTTGTTACGAGGATTTTGACAAGCTAGTTCAGAACCCTAGAAATACTTCTGCAAACAATGTCATTTAGAGAAAATAACTTTCTTCATTTTCCGCACTAATTTGCCTGTATAAAACATCATTATTAATTATGAACAATAAAATAATGTACTTTATAATATCCTGCCAATGAATTGCTGTTAACGAAATTCGATTTTCTCTTCTTATTAAAGAGAAGGTTGAGTAATGGGAGATCTGATTTATACCACATGTGTGTGTGTAGTCCCACCTACATCTTTCTGTGTACAGTGCTTGTAATTTTACCAAGACTGGGCCAAATTTCTTATAATGTTGATGATTCCAGAACCTTGCAGTACACACCAATACTTATGCTAGATGATCAACCTTTTCTAATCGATTCCACATCGTTTCTTTCACAATTGCAATCGCATGACCAGAACTCAACTTTATCTTTAAAGATATTGAGCTTATCAATTTTTGTTTAGTTGTTAATTGCACATGTTATAATGTTTGAAATTCTCAAAATATACCATACTATCCGTTGTCAATCCAATTTATGTTTCTAAGTTGACCTAGGTGTTTGTGAAGACCCCGGCACACCTCAAAACGGATTCAGATACAATGAAACGGGCTCTCTGCGCTACGGCAGCAAGATATATTTTAACTGCTCCAATGGGTACACACTAGAAGGACCTGACGTTATCCAGTGCGTGCAGATGTACGGTCGCAGAGATAATGTTGGCATTGCTAACAGCACCCATGCCGTTATGTGGAACCAAGGTCTTCCGAAGTGTACAGGCAAGTGTTTTTACATTATCACTTTTTATAATATTTTGGTTCACGACATTAATTTTCCATGAGTAGATGTAGGTTCTGTTTAGTCTAGAACGACTTTAAAGTGTACCAATCATTACAAATGTTTGGCTCTTGATGTGAGCTAATAATCGTTATGATAGTTGTTATGTACTCTTAATTAAAATGTATACATATGATTACTCGAGACAGATAATAGCACACGTTTGATACTCCTGGTATAAGATTCCAAAGCAAGTTTATTTTGCATGGCGCATGCGCAGCTTTACAATTGTGGGTCATTGTATGCCGTCATCAATATATAACAATAATAATGATAACACTCCTACTAATAATAATTTAAATAACAACAACAACAACAAGATAAATACAAAATATGATAATAATTATAATTCAAAACTCTAATTATATATATCTCATATCACTATTCAGTCCCTATGCACTTTAATTTTGAGGATAAAGAAATGGATAGAATTGGACTATATACATACAATACAATTCAAATCAAATACCGAGTAAACTTATCTTAAAACTACTGGTGAACAAAATGTTTTTTGTTGTTGATTGGCCAATATATACTATTTTAACATCTTTATTTACCATGATGTTCAGGATTCAGTTCGACTACACCCTCTTCTGCGACTACCAAGAGCCGAGGGCTAACTAACCAAATGACATTCAGTGGGTCAACTGACCAAGAGCAGCAGAGTGGTAAATAGATTCTTATTTATTTATTTATTTATTTATTTATTTATTTCTGATATTTATACAGGGTGGCACATATCACCAATTTGGTGGTCTTCCATGAGGCCCTGTTTGGTAATAATAAAAACAAATAACAGCATCAAAAACAAAATAGATAAATACACAAGCATATAAACAGGTAAAATACAAATTAATTGGTATCCCCTTGAAATAACTCCCCTTGAAATAACTGATCATTCAAGAATCATCCTTGATCATTGGTTACATGCAAATGTTTCAGCGATTACTGACGATTTTATCATAAAAAGTGTGAAAAGGAGAATGATGAATTAAAAAAAGAAAGGATTATCAGTACATGTATTTCTGGTATTTAATACAACTGTTTTTCATGATAGCCTCAATTACCACACATCATATTGGTATAGGTTGAGTTCTGGGGAGAGGTGAAAAATATTTTGTGAGCATTATCATTTTCATCATGCAAGTGTGGAAGAAAATCAGAGATAAAAATGTTCCCTGAAAATCATGGGTCTTCAAATGCTTTCATATTCTAAATATGACAAGTGACAGCTTAAAAATGAGGTCCAATTTTTGTGCCACATGTGCGTGTAGTCCCTTATACATGTTTCTGTGAACAGTGCTTGTTACTTAACTAAGACTGGGCCGAATTTCTCATCATTTTCATGTCTCCAGAACCTTGCAGTACACACCGATACTTATATTTATGCTACATGATCAACATTTCTGATCGATTTCACACTGTGTCTTTCACAATGCAATCTCATGACCAGAACTAAACTTTAACTTTAAGTTGCTTACAACTACTACAGTCTATACTCGGTATATCTGTTTATACTAGTATATAAAACAGCGTAAAACTAGAGAAAGAAAGGGTCCTGTCTTCGTGCCCCGTGCCCCCTAGGAAAATCATTGTATGGTATTTGAAATGACTGTGGACTATAGCAGTGGTAACTAATTGCCATTTAGAAAATTCATGTGGCTCATACCGGCTTACAAATTGTAACACACTTATAATTTCCTGTCTTTTCCTAGGTCATGATCAGGTCATCATATCTATCAGTATTGGCATCGTCTCTGGCCTCCTCCTCATCATCGCCATCATTGTCGTGGTCGTTATTTGCAAAAGACGTAGAAGGTAAAGCTTATTATTATTATTATGATGTCTCATAATAGGCCTTTAATGCTGTACATGTTTGTACGCGTTTTGGTGTGCTGAATCGCACCGTGCTGGTTTCGTCTTCTACGTCCAAGACGTGAAAATCAATAAAATTGACCTTTACCCATGCAACAATTTTGTTGTATTTTACGTCCAAGACGTGAATATTAAAATAGAATTGTTTGGGAGATGAACCATTTACATGTACACGTAAAGCACGGTAAGCCTTACATTATGATATGAGTTAGGAGACGTTATCACACTTCTTTTTGTTGTTGTCGATAAGCGTTTTCGTACATACACACTCTGAATCTTGAAGTACTCTCCAGGATAGCCCAGACCACAGCTGCAGTGACCAAACTAAAAGTCATCTGGACAGACAAAAACATCGCCATCAGCTCCAAGATCCGGGCCCGTAGCCAAGATCGGTTGTATTTTGTTAGGCCCCTCCCCAGGACGTCGATAAAATACATGTATGTGTCCCCCCCCCCCCCCCCCCCCCCCCCCAAACATCAAACTCTGGCTACGGCCCTGCCAAGATCAGACTGATGCGCTCCCTGGTCATGTCCGTATTTTTGTATGCATGTGAAACCTGGACCATAACAGCTGACATTGGAAGAAGGATACAGGCACTGGAGATGAGAAGTTTCCGCAAACTCCTCGGTATTTCGTATAGAGATCACATAACCCATCAGGTAGCGAAAACCAGAATTGAAAACGCCATTTCAGTAAAAAGACGCAAACTGAAGTGGTACGGGCACGTTACACGATCATCTGGACTGGCCAAGACTATCCTACAGGGAACAGTACAGGGAGGAAGACGAAGAGGCAGACAGAAGAAACGATGGGAAGACAACATCAAAGAATGGACTGGCCTTGACTGGAACATCATACGGCGGAAAGCTGAGAACCACGAGGATTTGAGGAAGCTGGTTGTAAAATCTACAGTGGTGTCCCAACGGTCAGCCAGACTACGGGACAGATGAGATGAGAAGAGATCGTACTATGTTGGGAAGTTATGCACTTTGCCATTTTGGGGAAGAGCTAATAAAAACGTTTAAAAAAGGCGGTATACGTGCTTTTGACAGTTCTATACATGGTATTGCGATTTGCGCGAGAACTAGGAATTGGAGACACGAACCATGTACGTGCACACGTAGAGTTCGACATGCCTTACATCATCGTATGAATTGGGAGACGTCATCATGTTTTGTTGGGAAGTTTAGCACTTTGCCATTTGGGAAAAAATAACAAAACAGTCTTAAAAAGGCGGCTGGTATACGCGCTATTGACAGTTCTACACATATTATTGCAAGTTCCGCAATTCTTCAAATGGGAAACGTGAATCTATTACATTTACATGCACACGAAGAGCACGACGTTCCTTACATCATGATATGAATTGGGAGACGTTATCATACTATGTTGAGAAGTTATGCATTTTGCAATCTGGGGGAACAAAATAACAAAAACGTGTCTAAAGGTGGTATACGTGCTATTGACAGTTTTATACATGGTATTGCAATTTGTGCGAGAACTAGGAATTGGAGACATGAACCTATTGCATGCACATGTAGACCAAAAAGTTCCTTACTTCATGATATAAATTGGAAGACGTTATCATACTTTGTTGGGAAGTAATGAATTTCGCCATTTTCGGGAATTACTAACAAAACCGTTAAAAGAAGGTGGAATACGCGCTATTGACAGTTTTATACACAATTTGCGCAAAACTAGGAAAGAGACACATGAACCAATTACATACACACGTTTAGAGCACGTATAGAGCATCATCTTCATCAGCATCATCAGTAGTCCATCATCAGAAACA